CAAAGCTTTGTTTCCTTTCCATTTCCCCCTCTGCATTCTCAAAAAACCAAATCAAAACTAGCTAAGTAATTAATTTAATTACCCAAAACATTCTGATAGAAGTTTGTGCCTAGCCCATGTTCCTTCACTAACAAGTAAAGCTAAGAATCTTTTGATGATGAAATAGTATTTCTTATTTTAGTCATTCTGTTTGCATTTGATGGTAGATCTGTATGTAACTTTTTTTTTTATAAAGAAACATCAATGGCTTATTTTTTATGTTTAAGTAAAAAGCAACTGAGGTGTGAATGGGGAAAATAATTGTGATAGATAATCAGGGTTCCTCTCTCTCCTTTAAAGATGGACAAGAAAATCTCATTAGAGTGCTGGCAACCATTCTGATTTGTTGTTGAGACTTGATTATACTACAGTTTGGTGATTTGAATGTGATAATATATATTTTAAAGGTTTTTAAAATAATGTCTCTCCAATTCTTTTTATAATCTACAGAGAAAGCAACCAGTGAGATGAATACAGCTGAAGACTGGGGCCTCATTTTGGATATTTGTGATAAAGTTGGTCAGTCTCGCACTGGGTAAGTGTTCGAACTTTCAAAGGATTTTTATTAATTCTGCCTTTTATAAACAAGAAAAGAAGTGTTAGCAGGTAAAGCAGATTGCAATTACAATTTCGTTAAAAAATGGAATGTTGTTACGAGAAAGATTTGAAAAATCATGCAATCTAGGTTACTCTTTATAACCAGTTAGGGTATATGACTGGGAAAAAGTCGATACTTTAATTGACCACCTCTTCCATATTTTCCTTCTGAAATCTTGCTTTTTCTACTGATTATTTTAGAGTCATCAGTAATTTCTCAGTTACTAAGTTTCATGGTTATTTCTGAATTCTTTTCTCCTTTGTCATATATGCAACACTCCACCCAACTGATCAGTGACTATTGAAAGACAGATTAGGGAAATAGAGTCTTAAATTTTTGGGCATATATTACAGAGCTTTCCAAATGGTTTAGTGAGTGGATTAACTGGTATGCTTATGAATGATTTTCTCAACTCCTGGGCTGATAGCATTCAGCTATTAGCAGTCTTGTTTACTGCGTTGTGCCACATAAAGAGTATTGTCTTATTTGCATTTGTGTACTTTTGTGTGAAAAGGATTAGGACTGCTGCATTATATTCTGGGGGTAATCTTAACTCTCTGACAGTGCCTTCTTTGGCTTTCTTCCCCCCCTAAATATAGATGTTCCTTAAACTTCCTTGATCCATTTTTGATTTCTAATATTTTTTTTTTTGAAACCTCACAACTTCCAGGTGTTTTTATGTGGGTGTCTTTGCAGATATCATTTTATAAAAGCCTTAATTTCACCATTTAGAAACCAGAACTCCTGTCTCCTTTTGCATTAAACCTGCTTTCATTCCTTTGTTCCCTGTTTCTGCAAATGACAAGATGATTCTTTCATTGCACTTAAAGCCTCAGAGTCACTTCCATGTTTATTTTGTTACCAAATTCTGTCCATCTACATTGATAAATCTCTCTCAAAACGTTGATGTTATAAAGTCTCCTAAATTAAGGTCTTGAGCCTGGCCAAATCGTGCAGGGGCAGTTGTCTTCAGGGCCTGTCTACCTCTTCACTTTTTGGCCCCCAATGTGTACCCTGTGTTAGGTTCTCAAAGATCCTCCCAAATGTGGCCCCATCAATCTCCTTTGTTGCCTTTACATTTTTACATTTTAATATGTTAAGTCTTGTTCTTTCAGACCCTGGTAATTAATTTAATTGAAATTTGAGTAACTACTATGTGCTACATATGCATCCTTTTTTTCCATTTTTATTTGCCTCACTTTACTTGTGACATTCCTTACCTTTCCTAGGCTAGTGAATTACCTTCTGGCATTCCTTTCCATTCCCATCGCTTTCTAATTTTTATACCCAGTTGCCCTGGAACAACTGTGTTCTTGTTATTTCTCTACCTTTCGTGCTGAATTAAGTCTAAACTCCTTAGTCTTCTGAATCATGTACTTCTTATTTCCCTCCATTCATTTCAGCTCAACTATTTGAGTTGCCAGTGCTTTTCTACCTTAGTTTAATGGTTTTGGTTCTTCTATTCCTTCAGCATGAAATGTTTTCCTCTTTCATCTCCTATCTCTGTGTCTCATATCCTTCTAGACCCAATTTAGAAATCATTTCTTCCACAAAGCCTTTTCTTATCCCCTTTACTGACAGTAATGTCATGGTCCTCCAAATTCTCAAATGCACACTATCAAAACCATTCTTATTTGTGTTTTGTCCTGAATTTTAGTAATTTTATATCTAGTAAACTTAGATTTACTAAGTATACTAAATATAGCAGATTTGTAGAATGAACAGTCTATGAATTTTTGCTTTGCATGGGAAAGAAGCAAATAGCTTAATACTTGAGATTATGGGCTCTGAAGTGAGGCTGCGCGGGTTCAAATCCTGGCTCTAACCACTTAGCTTTGTCACACTGGATAAGTAAATGACCTTTCTGGGCCTTACTTTTCTAGTTTACCACATAAGAATAAAATTGTATCTTCTTCGTAGAGGGGTCGTTGTGACTATGAGATTAGTTAATACATAAAAGTGTTTATAATAGTACCAGGCACATGGTTAAATGGGTGCAACTCTGCCTCCTTTTGTTTAAAGTTATATTTTGTGACAGTTTGTCTGTTGAAGACTCGATATCGACCTAGATCCATCCTTGTGTATTTTGGAGATAAAACTTTTATCTACCATTCCAGTTCAAAGTCCCTCCTCTCCCTTTTCACTCTGTTGGTTTTCTTTTTATTTTTACTTTGGTGTTCTTCATTTTGTAGACAGTTTTTATAATAATCTGATCAA